TTTAAGCTCTGGTAGTGGGAGGTCTGGTGCTGCAGTGACGCTTGGCAATTAACTCCCAAGCCACATGTGCACGGTCCCAGTCAGTTGCTTGCCCAAAATGAACAGAGAGTGCCTGTAACTGGCAGGTGACAGCAGAGTGCCAAATGGCAAGAGGGAAAGCAGAAACTTTGTAATTCAAAGAGGGTGAAATAATTTTTAATGATTAGAAAGGGGAGCAGCCCAGGTCAATCAATACCCAGTGGTTGACGGAAATTTGTTGAGGGCGATTACTTAGACATGACCAACAAGAAAGAAAAGAATTGCGACAGCAATATCACAACCTATGCCACGATAGTGTGTTGCCAACGTCACAGCCAAATAGAATAAAGAGAAATGATTCTTAGGACCTCATGCCCCCTTCCAAGCACTGTAACTTCCACTAGCGACAGGAAATTGGTGATCTGACTGTGTACTGTAGACTGTCTCCTATATCAGCCACCAATGGAGTATTGACGGGAATAGACATGAGGCAATTGCATAGTTTTGGGAAGCTGTCTGATTCTGGCTAGTCACAATTCATGGGCACACTCAGCCCTCCCTGATATCTCCTCTTTCTCTGCTTCTGGAAAGCTCTGGGCCGATTTTTGTGGCCCAGCCTGCGCTTGTGCAAAGGTATTCCCCTACAAAAGGCCCTGCTGAGTGGCAAAGACTCCAGTGGAGCAGGCTTCATCTCCTGGGCCTTGTGGTTGCAGATTTGTGCTGAAGAACCGATTTGTGAGAATGGGGTTTTGGGAGATGTGGAATGCAGTCAGTACCCCGAATTACAGTTGATGCAACCAAACCAAATTGGACTGCCCCTGCTCTCATGATCGTTTTACTGGGGACTCCATTTCCTTATCCACTTGGTGTCTTCTTTCAGGGCAGCTTCCAAACTGCAACCTTCTTTAAAGAAGGAACAGTCCTCCTGCCTCTGTGTTGTATTTGTACAATGCTTACACTTTTACTCTCTTGTTGCTCAGACTCTTTCTTCTCCTTCACCAATCTGACCACTGGTTAAGAAGGATCGCATCCCAACATTATCAGAGCTCAACCTTCAGATTTAACAAAAGACAGTGCTGGTTTCAAATTGACATCTTCCCTGTCTGCTCAGAAGAGCAGGTTAAAATTAAGACTGCAAGAAGACAGAAGGGATGTTCATCAGATTTTAACTAAAGACTTTAGGGACAATAAGACAATTTCAGGATTTCTGGTGGGGAGAATTAAGTAGGGTTATAATCCCAGCCAGATAAATCCCCATGTCCCATTATTCCAGTGCTCCAGTTGTCAAAGTGGTTGCATCTGTGACCTTGCTGGAAATGGCCTATTTGTCAGACATAGGAAACTTATCCATGCAAAACAATTTCTCACCTTGTAACATTTAAGCTCTGTTTATGGAATAAATTGGTTCCAGAAATCTGCAAAATATGTTGCAACAACCCTTTTCAGTAAACAGCAACACAGCTTTACATTTGCATCAGTGTACAGTGTTCAACTTGCTCACTGGCACTACTGATGTATGCTACAAATTCTCACATGCTACACAGAAACTACAACTCTCTGACTAAAATGGGAGACAAGAAGATTTCCTTTCTCACCGTGCTTGTGGAATGAACATTTTCTTTTCCTGCTTGAATTAGGTCTCTAGGGAACTGTCTTCAGTTAAGAGTCAGTGCTCTGGACATTAATGTCCCATCTTCAAGTTAAAACATTATGGAGGTATTAGATTCGAGAAACACAATTCAACAAACCAATATAATGTTATTGTGAAAAGTACGCAGTGATATCCTTGTTTGTCAATTTGAATTAAAATCTATATTTTGAACAAAAAGCTGTTTGAAAAATTTAATCAACAAACTATGACAATTTTGTTGTAGAGAGAATGCCATCATTAAATGTCAGTATAAATGATAAATGTGGTATAAAACTGTAAATAAAACTCAAAACAACAGGTAATAAGGTTTGCAAACAGCCAGTGCATTATCTTTAGGATTTGTGATAAAGGACAGACAGAAGCCAGTTAATTGAAAGGTCACAGCACATAGCTGAGGCAAAATTGAAATGAAATAGAGAAGCTAAATCAAAAGAATAAGGCACTGCCAAGCTTGGCATACTGCTACCACTTGGCATACTGTTACCATTTAGTAGATAGCAATCAGTTGGGCAGTTATAATACCCCATGTTACTTATGGGCCAGAAAATCAATGGATCCTGACAGTCAAGAATTTTACTTGAAACTGGAGGAGCAGCACCTCATATTCCGCCTTCGGAGCCTACAACTCGATGGTCTCAATGTGGACTTTACTAGTTTCAAAACCTCCCCACCCCCGGCCTCATTCCATGACCAACCCTCCCTCTCATCCCCGCCTCTTTGACCTGACACAACCTGTCCGTCTTCTCTCCCACCTATCCGCTCCACCCACCTCACTGACCAATCCCCACAACTGCCTACCTGCACTCACCTGTCACCATCCCACCTACCTTCCCCAGCCCCACCTCTCCTCTCTCTGTTTATTTCAGAGCTCCCTTCCCCCTCCCCCATTTCTGAGGAAAGGTCCTGACCCAAAACATCAACTTTCCTGCTCCTCTGATGCTGCATGTCCTGCTGTGTTCCTCCAGCTCCACACTGTGTTACCTCTGACTCCAGCATCGGCAGTTCTTGCTATCTCTGAGAATTTTACTTGATCCTTCGGGCATGTGGCTAGCTCACACACCCAAAAGCCAGCAGTGCCCTTCTGTAGGCATGCAGATCATCTTGATATCTGGACTTCAATTTTAACACAAACCATTACTACTTTGACAGATGGTTGAAGAGCAGTCAGGACATGCCAAGAAATGAATGAGATATTAAAATATTGTAATTTCCTTCATTGTGCAAGACGCCCAGCAATGCCTACCAGAACCCACAAGTTGAGACCTGCCCTGCATGTCACCAATCCTCTCCCTTCTCCTCTTTCTAAGTACAAGTCATTCTCGAGTGCTGACAGGTAGTTAAAGGTCACATTGTTTGTACAAGTATATTCCAGTCTTTTAATCCCTATCACCAACCCCACCTCCCATACTTCCCCTGCTTTCTTCCAGCCATCAAATCTCTCCATTTGCTGCTGCCATCTTTGGTCCAGGTCTTTGCAAAAGCCAACAGCTGCTTGTCTGCCTCCTTGAAGGTTTTGAGCATAGTGACTTAGAGTAGGGAGCTGTGATGAGTCTTTATTTTAACAATGCCTACATCAGCTGAGTTTAATATTGTGCATATTGCGGAAGGTCACATCTCTCGATATTTGTGAACAATGGGTTTTTCTGTGATGACATATCAAAGTGTAATTTGTATAAAATATTGGTGTCAGCTTTGAATTCACTGCCTTAATCTGAAATTATGTCACAACCATTCCAAGTTTTAACAGAGTGCTTCAAACTTCAGCAATAAACTTGAATTTTCTGTAAGTGTAAATGAAATTGAATTTACCTCAGATTTCACTTCAAGCTCATTATTCCTGGGTTGTATGGAAAAGATCTCTGAACTTTCAAATTATGAAATGAAATCCAAAACATGCAGTAAATAAACAATCCTGAAAATTCAAGCTAAAGAATCATGAAATGATATAACAAGATGTAGAGCTGGATGAACACAGCAGGCCAAGCAGTATCAGAAGAGCAGGAAAGCTGACGTTTCATAACCTTCACCTAGCCACGGCCGGAGCTCTTGCATTTCACAGATAGTGCTTTCCCAGCTGAACAACTTCACCAATGAAGATCTTCCCTGCTGCACACTGAATGACCCTTGCGAGTTGATGACAGATTTGAAGACTGGTGCACTGCTAATACAGTTCTTAATTGATTTTACATGTTGTTTAATTACTTACCTACAAATTGAAGGAGTTCACTACTCACTTTCATTCTTGCCTCATTGAAACATGGAAAAGGACAGGCTGATGTCACGATTCCAACTTAATGTCAATTTATCTTCACTTAACTCCACATCCATACCAAACCTTTGTTATAAAAGTGCATGCAAGTGTTACTAAACTAGAATTGCATTGATTCAAATATATATGGATGACAAAGAAATTCACTTGTTGGCATCAACCTCTGCTGAGGCATACAGTGGCTATACCTCCTGCTTCTTCTAGCTATTTTCTGTCTCTTTACACCTCAAGTGGTGGCGAGTGATGTAAACAATCTTACCTTGTTTAGTTCCAACTCTGCTATGGTAGTTATCTAGTAAGAGTCATATAACATGGACACAGATCCTTCGGTCCAACTCATCCGTGCCGACCAAATTTCCTAAACTGATCTAGTCTCATTTGCCAGCATTTGACCAATATCCCTCTAAATCCTTCATATGCATGTACCCATTCGGATGCCTTTTAAATGTTGTAATTGTAGCCACCTCCACCACTTCCTCTGGCAGCTCGTTCCATACGCACCGCACTCTCTGCATGAAAAAGTTGCCATTTAAATCTTTCTCCTTTCACCTTAAACCTACACCTTCTAGTTTCGAACTCCCCTACCCTAGGAAAAGGGCTTTGGCTACTTACCCTATCCATGCCCCTCATGATTTTATAAACCTCTATAAGGTACCCCTCAGCCTGCGACCTTTCCGACAAACTGAGATAAGGATGAAGAAACCCCAGTATTGAAAGACAATTACTACATTTCATGTCTCAAAATGCTCATTGATATAAGAATATTATTTTTTTCTGAAAGTAATCTTTGTTTTGTATTTGAATCAATTACTATTTCTCTTTTGGTAAGGAAAGAGATAGTTACGGGAAGAGATACGTTTTTATTTATTAATTTCTGCAGTAACATACTGTCAGAAGTCAACTAGAGGAGCTACAATATATTACATAAAGAGGATATCATGAAATGAGTGGGGTACTGAAATAATGTAAACTATTACTTGACGAAGCTAGTTGACATTTGGATCTTAAAATATATGTGCAGTAAGCAGAGTAAAGGTGATTAAATTATACATTTTGTTACAGGTTGGATTTTCTCTGTCTTTGGCCTTCTGGGGTTTGCGAGGTGCAATGAAAATCTGACAAATACCAATGGACACCAGTGTGAGAATGAACCAGCTCCAAAACAACACTGCAGCACGGTCAGCTGCAACATGCAATGTCACTCACAAAGCGCTCAGACATACTATTCAATGTGACATGACTCTATACAAACTAATGGAAAAGAAATAATTTTACAAAGTAACATTTTATTGGAAAAAAGATATGCTTTCTGATTGTAACAGAGCACAAAATAGTTTGATATCTTAGAATCAAAAATCAATAAGAATAATAATCTGTGATAGCTTCCATAAGAAGATTAAATAGTTTATGTTCCAGTATATTTTGACTATAAATTTTCTTGAACTTAATTCCAAGTGTACTAATGTTTACCACATTTAAACAGAGGTCATACAAGCTCAGATTTTTGACTTGCTTAAAATAAGACAATGACTGAGAACAATACAAATGAACTGCCAATGTGCATTCTCTGAGTTTGTTCTTGACACTCTGTACAGAGTTTCTTAATAGGTTTGCATAAAATTAACAAAATCTGAAAGTAACCTGAAATGTTATTTAATATATTTCAACTTAAAAAGAAAAATCCATAATTTTGAAAACTAATTTTATGTAAGTAAACATTTGATGAACCTCTGTAGCAAGATGATTACACTTGTACCTCAGACCCAGAGATTGATTTTAGTTCTGCGTGTCTATCTACGTACTATTTTTCTATCCCACTTTACAAAATACTGTTTTATTTGTCTTTTCTAGCAATAAATAAATCAGGAAAACCGATGAAAGGATTAGTTGGTAATGTTTCCAGTTCACATTGGAGTTTTGGAGTATGATTTTTACTTATCATTCATTGGAAGATAATCACCTTTCTCTGTAAAAACAGAAAATATTTATAACAATCTCTACACACTTAAATACATGGTGATCCCTTTGTCTCCAAGGAAAGACATGGCTCCTTTAAACACCATTTAAACATCCTTTTATTTCTTCCATTGGGGTAAAAGACCTCACTACTGTCTTTTATGGTAATTGCCAACATGTTTTCATAGTCCTTAAGCATCCTATATATCTTTTAGAACTTCTTTTCACTTTTTTTTATGTTTCTTTAGTTTGTTTCTGTTGTATTTCTCATATGCTTCTTCGTAAACTTCATTTTTGATCAGACCTTTCGATATGTGTCAATGGAACCCTGGCTATAGTGCTGCCATTTACTCCTAATCAGAAAATATCTAACCATAACCTGGTCAGAATATATTTAACATTCTGTATCTCATATTTAAATAGATGACACTGCTGGTTATTGTTTTATCAAGCATTTTTTTTCAGCAGTTAATCTGGGTGAGATGTTCTTTCATCCCACTGGCACAAGTTAATTTCTAGTTCAATATTTCATACTGTAGCTGCTGCTTTTCTTTGTCTACTTTAATATGGATTTGATTAGCTTTTGGTCACTAATTACATTGTGTTATCCCACATTCATATCACTTACTTGGCCTCCTTTTTGCTCAGAACCATTCCATTCCCCAGTAGTGATGTGTAAACCCTTTGAATGTGGGGACATTTTAAATTCACTATCAAATGCTGTACCCTGAACGATGATTGGAACAATTGAATCTGCTTAGACTCAAAATTATGTTGTATGCTTCCAACTTTGCATGTTCAACATGCTGAGGAAACAGCCCTGAGTGTATTTTAAGAAAGACTTCCTGTTTTCTTTGCTCCTTTCTGTCTTATGCTAGTCAGAGGATTATTAAAATGTTCCTTTATTAGAAATGTGACTCTCTAAGTTGACTTTATGGTTTTTATTTCTTGATTATTCTAACCTCTTTTCAAGCTTTTAGTATATTTGTCAAAAATCTAATTTTAACTTCAGGTTTCCAAGCTATGACTATCGGTTATAGCCTGGTAATTGAAATAGGACGGAGGATATTCCTCACCAGCTTCAGGACCTCACCATCAGGGTTCACAACCCCTCGCTGTGGAGGAAAGTCACCTACCAGGCCAATTAGTAGCCAGAGATCAAATTCACTGGCCAATTCACAACAGCAGATGGATTCTTGTAGCAGAACAACCAATAGGTGATTGCCCAACTAAGAAGAAACAGTAAGCTACCCTTTCGACTAATGAAGAGAGAGGGTGCCTCAAGATGGTAGCGCTAGCCTGTCTCAAACATTTTAAAATGTTAACTTTAAAAAGAAATCCCTTCAACAGTCAGGGCTTTAATGTGCACTGCTGCTGCAGCTAAGCCAGTCAGACATGAAGAGCCTTAAAGCCTGCTCAGTGTTGCTCTGAGGCAGCTGACCTGGTCACCTACAATAAGACTTACTTGGTTCATTGGTTACCTGCCAATACACTGCCTCCACCTCCACGAAAATGGCCTAGTGGCCTAATGGAGCCAGATAAACTGGCATGCCAGCAGGTGGCATGGCTTTCTGCACCCGCCTGCCCACATTGGGACCTAAAATTCAAACCCAGGGTAGTGGAGCTGCCAAATCATCCCCACTCTCAAACAATATTAGGATTGAAGTTTTAAATTGGATCCAGTTCTGTCACGCTATACTGACTATGAGTAATGAGTCAATTGAAACTGAAGGTTGAACTGCTAGCATCTTGTATAAATCCAGTTCTCATAGCCTTGTTTATGACTAGATTTCCCTGTAGTAATCAATTTGAAACTTCATATGGGATTTCTCTTTGAAACAGAGATAATCTTGCAGCAGAATAGTTTACTGTGCTGTCCTTCTTAAAAATATTACAAGTCATTTTCATTTTATTTTCACTCGTTTTCCTTCGACAGTAGGTTTTATTGATCACTAACTGCTAATTTAAAAAAAAAAATTTCTAGGTGACTAATGCAAAGAATTGCATAATAAAATTTCACATTTTAAGATTTTTATTGTAATGAACTAAAATCAATATTGACTGAAAATCACTAAGTAGGCAGCCAACACACTAAATTGCAAAAAAGGCATTCCCCAGTAACTTCTTAACATAAATGAAATCTCACACTACATTTATTATTGCATGCATTCTCAGCAGAGCTGTAGTCCTGTGTGTAAAACATCCAAGCTCCTTTCTGCTTTCAGTCCTTTTGAACAAAACTTACAAAGCACATTTGAATGGACTTACAGGCACTCTGGTGATTCTTTGGTGTTTAACGTTCCACGCAGTTTGTTTCTTCAAACAGGTGAGTCATCCTCACCATTCCTCTGCTTGGAGGTTAATCTGAAAGCAGTTCTTCTGCCTGGCATAGTATCATTTGGTGTGAGCCTTCTCCATATTGTCCTTGCTGACATTGGCAGTCTGTAAGTTTGTATGCAATAAGAACAGCTGCCCCTGCTTTTATGCACCTCATTTTGAACTGATTTTTTTTCCTTGAGCCTCTCTCTCTCTATGGTAAACAGGTCACGTCTGCTTTTCTCCTGGCAGATTTCATAGGAGGTCACATTCCTCACTGTTCCATTTTACTTTGAATTAAAGAAGAAAGTATAAAATTCACCCATTTTAAAAAAAATCTAGCACTCGTAACAATGTGATCAGACAGATTACTAATAAGTAAGGGGAGGCACGGTGGCTCAGTGGTTAGCACTATTGCCTCACAGCGCCAGGCACTCTGGTTCAGTTCTGCCCTCGGGCGACTGTCTGTGTGGAGTTTGCACATTCTCCACGTGTCTGCGTGGGTTTCCTCCTACAGTCCAAAGATGTACAGGGTAGGTGGATTGGCCATGTTAAATTGCCCGTAGTGTCCAGGGGAGTGCAAGTTAGGTGGATTAGACATGGGAAATGCCAGATTACATGGGGAAAGGGTTGGGGAATGAGTCTGGGTGGGATGCTCTTCAGAGGGACGGTGTGGACTCGGTGGGCTGAATGGCCTGTTTCCACACAGTAGGGATTCTATGATGAAATGCACCTTCCATGACTTTTATTATTTGGTGCATCAGGATAGTTCTCTGGGATCCTATAGCCCATCAGGGATTTGTGGGGAGTTACCCACATCCCCCAGGCACAATGATCCCACTGGATATCAATCTAGAATTCAGAGTGAAAGAAGTAGTCAGATTGTGTGGGATGGGTTTTCAACCCTGTACCTTCTCATTCTGCTATAAAAATGCTACCATAAAGCCAAAAGCTAAGTTCTTCTCCACTATATCCACCAAAAATGATGCCATAGTGGTAATGAGACACAAAGGATTTGTCCTCGGAGTCTTCAATATTTATTTCGGACAACATGAAGTCTCATGGCATGAAGTCAAGCATAGGTAAGTAAACCTCTAGCTGAGGAAATTGTAGTTCTCCATGTTGAATAACACTTGGAGGATGCACTGAGTGTGGCAAGGACATAAAATGAAAAGGGGAATTTCACCAAGAATGTCTCAGTAGCTCTACTGCTGACTGACCTGGCTGAGTCCAAAATACCGTGGCTACTGGACAAGGTCTGTGAATGTATGGTGTGGGAGCTAACGACAGGGAAAAACATACTTTCCTCGTTATCACCAATCTACCTGCTGCAGATGACTCTGCAATTGATGATGGCTGTGGCAATTAATGGTATCGCAGAACACGATTTCCAAACTGCATCATCTGTTGGATCAGGACTTGCATTCAGGGAGACTGCATGGTAATTGCAACAGATTCCCTGAAAATTCATGCTAAGGAAAGGTGGGGACCTGTGTGGCATCTCCCAGTCCTCCACACTGAAATGTAACCCGGGGTGTTGTTTTAATGTTGCTATTTTCTCGAGAGCACAACACTTCCTATCCTTTTCAGCGATGAGGAGAGACGAGCACTGCCTAGGGGGTGGGATTCTCCACTATCGCTGGTTTCCCTCAGGACTAATGTTGCCTTGAAAGTGTCATATCACCAACTTGAAGAGTTTGTCAACAGAAAATGCTTCCACGCCATCAAAGCTCAAATTATATGTGACTATTGATGCCACAATCAGGAGTCTGACCAAGATATTCTGTGAGCTATCATGACTCATATGTATTAGAGAACTCACAAGTTCCTGCTTCGTTCCAAGGTCCTTGAGCCATACAGGACTAATTCCTTGAACACAAGGATAACCCCCTCCAAACATGGCTCATGACACCTTTACAGAATTATCAGACTGAGGTAGAATGAAGATACAACACTTCTCACGTTTTGACAAGACCATAGTCGAACAGGCCAGAGCCTTCCTCAAGTTGAAGTTTCATTGCCTGGACCTCTACTGCAGCAGAATATAGTCCAGAAAGGGTGTCCACATCATTGGAGCATACTGGGCCCCTCACAACTTGAATCAAAAAAGAGTAGACATCATGGGTGCAGATAAAATTTAGGGGACTGACAATAGTCTTCTGAAGATGAGGCTGAGAATCAGGATATAGATTAGGTGACCTGATCAACAGAGCAAATCAAAATAATGCGTCATTTATTCTGAGACACAAGAAAGTGTCTAATTAAAACGCAATTCCAGAATGAATGAGATAACAAAGTGTGAAGCTGGAGGAATACAGCAGGCCAGGCAGCATCAGAGGAACAGGAAAGCTGATGTTTTGGGACACTTCTTCAGTTATTGCAAAGGTTAGAATGAACCTGAACTCTAGGTCCGCTACGTAGATGACACATTCGTGATTATCAAATGCACAAGACTAGAAGAAACCCACTGATACATAAACAACATCCTCACAGGAATTAAGTTCACAAAAGAAGAAGAGAACAATAACCGACTACCCTTCCTAGGTATAATGGTAGGACGTAAGAACAACGGGAACTCGATATTAGCATATACAGAAAGACCA